CATACACACACACACACACACACACACACACACACACACACACACACACACACACACACACACACACACACACACACACACACACACTGTTTTCTAGTCGTTTTTGTAAAGTCCTCCACCGCAGGTTCAACTCTGGTTTGAACAATTATTCTGTCAAGTGTTGTCCCTCATTGTCCACTTGTTAACGCAGCATTTATATAATAAAGACACTTTCTCGCTTACAAAATATCTCCATTCACATTAAAACCACCAATACAAACACGGCTATGCCCATTTTTCTTTAAATACACTGCTTCACAGCGTCTGGCCACTTCCCAGCGCCAAGTTTAGTTTCAAGCTTCCTTCCGAAAAAGCAGTGTTGTTATTTATCAAACTGTTTCCATACAGCATTTCTTTTATACAGCTGTCTTAGTCGGAGCCCAACTGAGATCAAGATGTATTTTCAAATGGAGCTTTAGCCTGAGACTGGATGTAATAAGTGCGTGTTTGTGTGTGTAAGGTCAAAGCAACAGCAGTGTGTCTGCCCGTCTGTTTCCTTGTGGAGCCTTTCTATCGATTCAAGTCATGGCGCAGCTCCAAAGACCCTGCAGAGCAACATATACACACACACACAAACACACACGCAGTGATACCATGCATCCACTGATATTCTTGACCTATTTTCTTTCCTTCAAATGAAAGCAGACGTTGACACACAAACACACAGCCAGAGGTTCCTCCCCCTCTTTTCCAGCAGTTACATTAAAACATCCAGGATGCAGCAGCAGGGATGGAACAAACACCCCTCTGCACCCGGCAACAGTGCAAACTCCATGACAAAAAAGTTTTGAAAGCTGTGTGTCGGGCCACAGAGCCCTCACTGTTACAGTCCGTCATGAATACAGGCCCTGTGTGCCGCTGACAGAAGAGAGGGCTACTGTTGCCACACAAACAAACACACTAATATGCAGCCACCAACACACACATTTATACACTGGGGGAAATATTTCACACTTGCTGGCTGCGGCCTTCACAACCATTCAAGGCAATTTTCTCCCATGACACACACGCACACACACACAATGAAGCTCATTGATTGTTTTACTAAATATCAGCTGGGTGCTGGTTATGTAAGAACCCTGAGGGCTAAAAAAGGGGGGATGAACAGTGAGATGGGGGGAGGGAGGGGGAAAAGGGAAGAGAGACATTGCATATTTACTGCATGTGAATATGCAATAAATTAATTAATTAAAAGGTTATCTTTTTGAGCCTGCTATATTTGTATTTTCCTTTTTATTCATTTCGGCCCAGTAATATTTTATACATAAATATGTTTTTAAGTTTAAGATACATTTTGACCTTACAATCTTTCTATTTATTGTACGTTTTTTATTTTAAGGATTTGTTAGAGCTTTTTGAGAGATATAGATTCGAAAAGGGGGAGATAGAGGCACCGCATGTGTGCGTAATCTTTGTATTTTAATACATACAGAAGTCTTGTATCACTATAACTCATTTATTTATTTGGTTTACATTCTTTGGTGTCATTTATTTCACAAGCACTAACTGTAATTATTTCATTACAATAAAAAGAGCATAAAGAGAAAATAATCTGTGTCATTCAATTAAAAAAAAGAGTCAAATAAGTTGTCCATTTCATACTGTGTTCAAGACGCTTCTCGTACTTCCGATGTCAATCTTTAACACACACACTTTGTCCCAGCAGGGGGGAGATGCCTCAGAGTAAAGCCCCGAGCTCCAGGAGCATTTAATGTCCCTCCCTCCCCCCTCCCTCACACCCCCTTTTCTTTCCCTCTCCTACTGAGAACAGCTTGCTTTGTAGCTCGGTCAGCGTTTGGTTCTCCCTGCCGCAGCTCTGACAGCGCTTGCTCTTCCCTGCCGACACAGTCAGGTGCTGCTGGAGAATGTGACCATGCAGGAAGCAACCGGGGAGAGACGGGAAATCAGAGAGGGGAGGAGGGAGGGAGAGAGAGAGGCGGAATATAAAGAAGAAGAAAGTATTAAGAGATAATGAAAAAAGCAAGTGAGACTGGGAGGAAGGAACGGGAGGGAGGGAGG